CTTATGTATTTTAAATCATGTATCCATATAAATTATAATACTATTTTCATTAATACTAAAATAATTATTTAAAAAAGGATGATTAAACAAACAGGAAGGTTCAAGAGGTTTATCATAAAGTTGTGACACTTCTAATAGTCTTTGTTTCTCTTCTAAAGATTTAGAACTATTTAATATCTCAGAAACTTCAGAATAAAAATTATTATTTGATCATGACGAATAAAAACGTTTATAAAACAAAGAAGAAGAATAGAAAGAAGTCATAAAAGAATGACGTAAAGAGACACCGCCGCATAAAGGTGCTCTGGCAAAAAATATATTAAAGTTTTTCATGTGTAGAATGTTTTCGTAATAGCAAGCCAAAAATTGGAGAAGCAAAAGCCAAAAGAAGGAAGAAAGCAATAAAAGCTTATAAATTAAAGAGAGATTAAAAAATCAAAGTATAATTAAAGGGAATAAAATAAAAATATAAAAAAAAATATAAAATTAAGTGTAAAAAATAGAAAAGTCTAAAATCAGTTGTTCCAGTATAAAAATAAAATTGAAAGAGAAATCTCTCTCTATAATGGTACCGAATGGGGGTTAAAAAAGGAGTGGAATGTAAAAACAGAAGCCTTCGTCAGAAACTTTAGGGACAGTCTTTTATGTATAAGGCTGTAGCATTGATATTTGTCACCATGGCTCTTTGAGGCGTTTTTTGTCTTGTCAGCATTGCCAAGAACAATTGCTCTGTTTCGGTAATAAGCCATGCTCCATGTTTGAAACCTCCCACTCTTTCATCCAAGAGTAGGCTGCCAACTTGAGTTAAAAGGGCACTTCGCCTGTTAACACGTAACACAACACGAATCATCCGTGAGTTTTCGGTCTTCTGGCGTCTACTTCACACAGATGGTCTTTGTAACTTATAAGCGTAAACAAATGTTTTGTCAGATTATATTGAGCAGCTCAGCGTTCATTTTTTCAAGGACAAAGTGTTTACCTACATGATTATTGAACTAAATAAGTGAGGTTCTCAATTAAGCAAACTAAAGACAACTATGTAAGGTCCCCGGTATCAGCTTGGCACTGCTGGTACCTGTAAGCGCATATATGACTATATGCACTTCTATTATTGTGAGTTCCGTCAGATATCACTTTGAACATCTCATAGAATATTCTTTCGAGTTTCAGGGGTTACTATCACGTGACCTACAGTTAAAGTTTATGACGGTGGGATAGAACTCCAGTGGAGTTCTGGAGAAAGTAGTGATCAAATAGAAATACATAACCCCTATGTCCCGTGAAGTCCCTAAAATCTAGGAGTATAAACACATTTTAGTCCTGCGGAATTTCTTCGGAATTAAATTTATACCTAAATTTGAAATACAAGGACAAAGTACACGAGTTGATTTGATATATTTTCTGGATCCAATCTTCATGGAATGGAGGGTCGTATCTATTAGACAGTAGAAATATGTTTGGGGAGCCGAGCGTCTGTCACAGTGGTCCAACACACTTAATTGTGCAACTTCTTTCAGCGCCTAAAATATAATTCACTACTGACTCAGAAAACCTTTCAGGCACATGGTATACTACGGGCGCTAAAGTCGTTCGCGTTACATTTGACTTATAGAGTTACAGTGGATGAACTGGAAAGCTTTTGGAAGAGAGACTTTATTGTTGGAGCATGTTAGAAGAACTCTAGAGTTGAGTCATTAAGCTTTAAATTTGCAAGAGTGATTGCGGTTCAAATGAAAAAGGTTTTTACAGAATTAGAAGAGGACTGAACTTTGAAACTAGGGCATGTATTACTACTGCATTTGTTGCTTACTTTATGTTTGAAAACATAATCAAACAAGCAATAACTTGCAAAAGAAAGGGCGAAACACGTTTCCAAAACCCACACGCTAAAACAATATGACTTCAAACCCAGAAAACAACAAGGACAAAGATCAAATGAGCAAAATACCACAGACCTATTCCGTACATGATCTCACCCCCATCACCCACAAATGATTCACTTATGGTTGGTGCTTCAACAGTGGATGTTGAAGCATCGCTTGTGATACTACGTTCCAGAAAACTTGTAACAATAGTTGTGACTTCTTGGCTCTCAAAAGAAACTGAAGTTGTAGCAGAACTTACGAGCTCTGTGAGAACAATAGCTGTGCCGGAGTTAGTTTGAGTGATGTCATCACTGGTCACAACTATGTCAACTTCCTCAGTTACTGTTGCAACAGATGTGGTGGGACTCACAACGAGAATTTCGGTGGCGGTTGTAGTTTCCAATCCGTCAATGGTCAAAGTGATAATAGTTTCCTCAGTTATAGTTGCAACAGATGTGGTGGGACTCACAACGAGAATTTCGGTGGCGGTTGTAGTTTCCGAATCCGTCAATGGTCAAAGTGATAATAGTTTCCTCAGTTATAGTTGCAACAGATGTGGTGGGACT